CAGAAATACGGTCCATGTTAATGTGGAAACACAAATTGAAGGTAACAACTAAATATCGCGACTTGTGTTTTAGGTTCGTCTGAGTTCGTCCGAACTCATAATAGAGAGTCGTTTTTTTTTCTACGCGTCGCCAACGAATCCTTCTAATTAATTATACTTGCATGAACAACTTATTCTTGAAATCATATCCATCCGAAGCTCCCGACCTGCAAACCAAAAACGAAAAGTAAACGAAGAAAACAAAGAAACATAAACAAAAAAGCAGAAAGCCCCAAAATAAAGAAAAACACGCAACAAAACACAAAATAAACTATAAACAAAAGAAAAAACCTAGAACGGGAAAAAAAGAAAGACAAAACAACTACGAAAAACGTAACAATTATATGACAAACAACTTGTGTTGGACGGTGTAAATGTTTGCAGCAGATATTGTTCTAAAAATCAGCCTAGGAGACAGCCTAAGCGGCGCCTAGGCGGTAGGCAGTGTCCGGCCATCTCCGATTTGCACAAATCGACCAGGCGTCTAGGCGGCGCATATGCATGCTTAGGTGGCCCTAGGCGCTTCTAGACGGGCTCGACGGTCAGCCGGCGCCTAAGCGGGCTCAACGGTCAGGCGGCTCCTACGCGGGCTCGGTCGGAACTTTTTAATTTGTTTATTTTTTAAATACTAATTACATTATTTTGTTCACATGTTTTCTTTCAAATATATTAATATTATTATTTGGACTTGTGTGTGCGGATTTATTATAGTTGGGATAGTTTTATTTTGTGGACAGATAAGATAAATAGAAAATGAGGTATTTAATATTGATTTCTAGGCCCGACTAGACACTGCATATGCCCCACCTAGGCGCTAGGCGCTGGTCGAGCGCCTAGCGACTTTTGGAACACTGGAAGCAGGTAAGGAGTATGCCTCAACCGAGTCGACCCGAGTGATCCAGCAAGCCGAAATGGGTTTGACCTTGCGCGGACCGATCGGTTCAGTCCACTTTAGAAAGTTCGAATTCCGAGACTACATTAGAATTTTCGAATTCCCGAGAACTCTAGACGAGCCTAGAAAAGTCGAGACAAGCTAGTAGAAGAGTTATCTGTTTTACTTAACCCTGTTTGTCTTAATTACTTGTTTTGTTTGTTTTACTTGTTTGTGTGACTTAATCAATCTCAATCAAAGCCCTTAATAATAATTAAATCCCTAGATTTTAGATTAAGAGGAGTCGAGCCCTCACGCAATCCACTAGCATCTCATACATTCATTTCAACAGTTAAGGTGGGGATTCTATGATATGTTTTATTCTTAACAACTGCAAGATAATATAGTTAAAGTATGTTCATGAGTTTGCCTAAGTGTGGGCAATGCCTGAGAGAGGGCATCAGTTAAATCTCACGTCGTAGACTGTGGAGCATCCCATGTATATGATAGTGAGAGTGCGTACACACGAGTTAGCCATCCATCGTAAGCGGGGGAGCGTCCCATATATCCGATCGATGAGTTCAGTTAAGACCAATTATTCATTTTCATGTTTTGATTATCTTATATGTTATTATTCTGCATAACTGCATAGTATAGATTACTATGATGATCATTTTCAGGTTAAGCAGCTGACGCCGGACACGAGGGGCAGTGGTGGTCATTTCATTTGTTGCAGTTTTTATGCTTCCGCTTTGAACAATCAGAACATCTTATTTTCAAACGTTTGAGTTGTATGTTTGAACGTTTTTTAAACTTTCAGTCTTATTGCATTAGACTGTGCTTATTTATAAGATTGAAAAGTCGAGTTAGTAGTTGCAAGCGAATTCCCGTAAGCACTTAAGTTAGTTAACTTAAGTCAAGTTTAGAAAAGAAAAGCAATTTCAGCAAAGTTAAGAAAAGAAGAGTTTTTAAGTAAACACCTTACATCGAGTTTTTAAAAGTTAAGTTGTTCTCAAAAAAATCATAATTTTTTTGAAAATCAATACTTTTCAAAATATAAGAAGAGTGCTTACAGTCTTTCAGTTTTGCTATGGAGCAATTGGATGACTCGGCGTATAGAGTCATCCATAGCTAATCACAAATAATGTATTAACACGTGTCCTACAATCTATACACTTTGGACATGTGTCAATACATTAAATGATCGACGGCTTCATAAGAAAATCATTCGATTACTCCATAGATTTTTTTTGTGAGTCATCTCCCCAACCTTTTTTTTTCCATTTTAATAAGGCAAATATAGAAAACATGTTCCTTTTCTTTTTCTAGTGATATTTATCTCTAAACTAATGAACATGGATGCAACATTAGTATATAATAAGAACACATTGCCAACTTGGCCGCGTCTTTCTCGATTAGGCTTGAGATAATACCTGCACCTCCTTCTGGGTTGGGAGTTTGACTCGAGCATGTTATTATAGGGGTGTGCTACCCACGACAAGTCTTGATCTTAACCGCAAGGTCTTTGCCTCCTTTATTGCACCAAAAAAAAGTATATATAATAAGAACAAGGAAAATAAAATACTAAAGAATACGGGTTGACTTCGATGCTCCGTATTCAAAGGTAGAGTTTTATTACACACAAGTTTCTTAAGGCATAAATGCTTCATACAAGCAAACAAGCTGTTATAAGGGCATCTGTAACGGGGTGTTAATTCGCCCCGTTTAAATGGCAGATGAGAATTAACATGGATGTGGGCATTCATTAAGGTGGTGGGGCCCTTTTCCCGTTCAATGCACTGAACGGCACTATTGAGTGCCTTTTCTATTTATTTTTTTTTTGTTTTTATTTAATTATTTAATTATTATTTATTTTTTAATAATAGAATATTAAAATTTATATTGAGTGAGTGGAGAATGGGTCTCATATATTTATTTGAATGAATGGATAGGAATGTAAGTGTGTGTTTAAATGGAGAGATGCTTAGTAAAAAGATGATGTGGAGATGATGTGGAGGAGAGAGAGTGTTAATTTTTTATTGAATGAATGAAAAGGTTGTGGATGCCCTAAAGGGCATCAAACTTTTCTAACTGAACATTTTTACGGTTGGAAATGTATATTTTACTTAGTGTTAAAATATGTATATATTAATCTCTCTCTATATATTAATTCAGAATGTGTTGAGCCTAAGTGGGAGGTTCACATACTTCGAGATCTTATGTGGCAAATTTACATGCATCGGGCTTGAGTAAATTTTAATTTACTTCAAATCCAAAAATAATTAGGTCCAAATTATCCATAATTATGTTGATTATTTATGGTCATGTTACATGTATTAATTGTATTTTAATATCATTTCTTATATAACCATTGAATTGTAAATGTATTTTAAAAGTTAATAATTTTTATATTTTTAATCAGTTCTACATATATAATATATCAAATGAATCACTTCTTGATGAGATTCGATTTAACATCCATATTGTATGTATAAAATAATTAAATTATATTTATCATTGTAAGAATAATAAAATAGTTTTTTAATATTAATTAGAAAAATAAAATTATTTACCAATTAATTTATTTATATTTCAAGTAGTTATATGATATAACTTATGAAAATGTCTATAATATAATACATGTAAGTCACACAAGTAACAAGTGTCATTCTAAAATATATAGTAAATTATATTTATAAAAAAGTAAATAAAATTTAAAATGATTTTTCTCATTAATTTTAAAATTTAAGAATAATTTTTTGACAAAATAAAAACATATAGTTATTACACATTCTAATATTTCGAATCTATATATATATAAAAAGGTTTGATTATTTTTTAAATAGTAATTATTTCCCTCCAAAAAAATTTGTTTACTATTTTGAGAAATTAATTTAACAATTTATGGTATATATCAAATGATCACTTATGGAAATCGAGGCTCATTATTTAAGTAAATAATTGAGCCATATTTTAAGATACCTTAATTACTTAAATCATATGAATTAATTAATATAATATAAAGTGAACGAATTTATTTTTGGTATTAATGGTTATTTCTTTAGGATATAAATTAATTAATATATAGTATTACTTGAGCAAATTTATTCAGGTTATTTGATAAATGTTTTTTGGTAGAAACTTGTTGAAAAAATAATCAATATACGGTGTATTTTTTTTTTGTAAGGTCAATATTGGTTTTTAGACGATTACCGTAATTCCCACAAAATAATATGAATAGATATTTTGATATAATGTGCGTGTATCGATGTTCTTTATATAGAAATAGCTCTGGTCAATTTTTTTTTTTATAATTAGTAGGTCTCGATTTAATTCATTTTTTGTTGCAACATCAAATAATTGTTGTATGAAATGCACTGTTCATTTTTTTTAGCATGATAAGGAGTGTCGTTTTTTTGGCATAAAAAAACCTTATTCAACTACTTAAATATTTTGATTTAGATTTTTATACAAATATAAATTCATAATAATAAAAGAAACAATATAAGTTTTATCTTTATACTTATTATTCAAATAAGTTTTTAAATATATAACAAAATTTTACCAAATTAATTATGTTATGGAATCGCGTTATTGTCAAATTGAATTTCTAAATAAAAATTTTGAGACGACACATATTTTGAAACGAATATAATGTAACTTATTATCAGTTATGTGTTTTTTGTAATTTTGCACAATTTAAATTATATATAATATTTTCAATAAATTAATATAGGTACATTGTACTACATATTGATTTCATGTTTTTAATTTATAGTATTATTTAATAAAAATTTTTAATTTATTAACATTAATGAATATTTCTTACCCGTGCATCGCACGAGATTCATACAAGTAGTAGTAGTAATAATAATAATAATAATAATAATAATAATAATAATAATAATAATAATAATAATAATAATAACACTACAACATCAACTATTGCATAATATCACCGGATGAAAGGACATCATACAAACTCTATTAGAAATAAGAGTACATATGGTCAGCGAGGTTTAGGCCTATCCTATCCTCTTCATCCTTGACAATTGACATACTCTTCAAAGAATACAGTACAAATATCATCATCATCCACATTTGCCAGAACTTATACAACCATATATTTACAAAAGCAATGAGATATACTCCAAATTTATTTTGCAAATATAAGCAACCACATAAGATTAGGCAAAACTACTAGGAAGAAAAAGAAACACGCATGAGCATGAGAATGATCATTCAAAAGCCAAAGACATGAAAGTATCGTCATCCAAGAGGCTTTCAATATCAAATAAATCCTCCTCGGGGTAAATCGTATTCTCAATGCTTTCTGGAATCGTATCTGCAGTCTCCTGAAAAGATACGGACGAAAAACTATTACTAAATTTTGACTGAATATATTCAAATAGGATACGAAAAAGGGGAAAGAATCAGCACATCAACAAACAAACCAAAGCAATAACAATTATCTCGATCAACTTTCAGATTGTATAAATGAGGTTGCAATATGATATACATACTAAACAGTGACCTATTTATTGTTTACATGATATCATCCAACAAAGTTAAATAAGAGCTTT